GAAAGTGTATAATCCACACATAAACAGCATAGGAACCCACTATGTTGTTTGATTAAGTTGTTATCCCCCACCATATAAAATGCAATGTAGAAACATAAGATACACAAAAGGACATGATCTTTAACAATTAACATAGAAAAAGAAAGAAACAGACAAATTGACATTCCCAATACACTTTCATAAAGTTATAGCTCATGTTCTAATTTGGAGATATGGAACAAATTCACTTCTAACAAACCTCCCACAATCCTCTCTCTTGATTGAATTAAAAAAAAAACATAATAATAAGTCCAATTTACATGAGGGCTATAGTGGAGACAAATATTAAAGAGGAAAACAAATAAAGAACTTTCGACAAAATGAAAATCATGCCGCAACCCTCAAGCCTTGAGGTATACTATGTGTTTATATATATATATATATATATATATATATATATAGACAATAGTTAATACTTGTTTTTGTTTGTGGAATCTTATTTGTGCGGGATGATGCTGTTGGTGTGTGGTGGTAGATGCCAAGAGGGGGCAATGATGAGGACACGACTCTTCATTGGAATCAAAAGCAGAAGGAGGAGTTGTTGCAACTCCTAGTAGAGTATAACTGTAAATACAATGGTCGGAAACCGGTCCAAAAAAATTGGAAAGATTGGGCAACTGAACTACAAAAATATTTTAAGGATCCAGTTACGGCAGCCAAGGTTCAACAGATGAGAGTGCATCTAAAAGGCAAGTTTGATAAGGAGGTTATACTACGTACAACCACAGGCCTTGGTTGGGATCCTGTGACAGGCGCAGTGACTTGTACGGACGAGTATTGGGAAGATTTTGCTAAGGTAATTTCTAGATGTTCATTTTCCCTTTTCGAATTATTTGTCAACAGTTAGGACATGTGTTAAACGTGAGGTAGCTTATGTGGACGTTATTTGTCACACAGAATAAGAAGTGGGCTAATGCTGCGAAGAAGCAGCCCCTTAAAAACTTTGACCTGTACTGCGAGGCCTTTGGTAGTACCCATGTAGGTGGAGAATTTGCAAAGGGATTGGAAAACCCGACCACCGAGCATGTAGACACAATTCCAATCCCGGCTGAAGAAGGTGAAGGGAGGGGGGGCGATGTAGCATTCGTTAGGCAACGATGACGGTTTTGTCACTACGATGCGAGCTGGGTTGAACATTGCTAGGAAGGGCTTGAATGTTGCATCCACCTCTAAGGCAATTGGTAAGAAATCTGGACTCAGTCAGAAACGTCTGGTTGGCGATCCAGAGGCTAAGGCACTACTTGGACGACTTGTAGCATCTATAGAAAGTAGGAATAGTAGCAGGGCTACCAGTTCCAGTGCTAGTCAGAACCCTGCGGCCCCTTCTGTTTTGCAGTAGTGTACAGTGCTCGTGAAGGAAATGGATCTTGATGATGAAAGTGTTATAACATTTTTAGAGGCCATTGCGTGGTTTTCGCATATGCAACAACTCTTTTTGGATATAACAGAGACGCAAAGGGTTTGTTTCGTGACGAGGACCATTAGCTCTAAAACGAATCAAACTACCCAGCCTTGCAGCATGGCCCCTCCATCCATGGCCTCCAACTTCATGCAGCCCCCGTATTAAAACTTCATGCCCACACCCAACTTTTACCAACAACCGCCAATCTATGGCCAACAACCTCCTACCTTTAGCCAACCACAACCACAAGTACCCAGTTTCTCTCAACCCCCTCACCACGTGCAACCACAACACCCACCAATCCAAAACATGACCCCAAATGTTACTCCCCATCCCCCTAACTTTCAATGTCCAGCACCGTATTACATGCCTAGTTTTCCACCTAACTCCGGTCATTTTGGTGGAGGAAGCAATGAGGAGTAGCTATTTATGAGGCTTTTTATTTATGATGCTTAGACAGTGCCGGACCATTTTCTTAATTATGAGGCTGTTCACTATGTTGTAATCATTTATTGGGTTGTGTTTATGAGGCTCAGACAATGCCGGACCATTTTCTTAATTATGAGGCTTTTAACTATGTTGTAATCATTTATTGAGTTGTTTTGTACTTCGAAACTATTGCTTCATTTGCTTTTTCTTTCAATTTATGTTCTGATCACATGGTGCAATTTGCATTACAGACTTTACTTGTTATGAAATGGGCACCTCCTTAGTAGTGACTTTTAAATACTTTGTCATTATGTTATTGCACAATTTTAACATTAACTATGTTGTACAGGTGACTTCTACTATAACAGATTTGGCGAACAAGTTGTAATGTTGAACGGAGGGCCTTCGAACGCGTTGCCCAACAACAGAATGGGCGATGACTCTGATGATGAATATGAGGCAGCAAGTGTCGCGGCTATTCTTTGGTATTACCAAACCTACGTGGAGAGACTCCCACCTCAACCTAAGCACACCTCTGCGTTCACAGGTATTATGCCTGTTGATTACTTGCTTGATGGCCATGAGGACGTAATTCGAAATAAGATTAGGATGGGCAGTGACTGTTTTAAGTGCCTGAGTTCACTCCTAGAACTTAAAGGATATTTGAGACCCACTAGGAATATGAACGTGGACGAGCAGCTTTTTATCTTCCTATACATTTTGTCCCAAAGCCAAAGCAATAGGGAATCGCAGGATCAATGGCAGCATTCTGGATCCACAATTTCCAAATACTTCGAGGCTATATTGGAGGCAATATGTAACCTGCGGCATGATTTCATAACACCCCCAAATTTTAACATTATTGATCCAGTCATTGCTGCGAATGGAAGCAAGTATTTGCCATGGTTTAAGGTATGTCAATAGTCATATGTCATATCGTTAGCGACTAACATTATAAGATTGGTAACATCGTTGTTGTTAATTGATTACAGAATTGTGTTGGAGCTCTCGACAGGACTCACGTCCCTTGTGTTCCACCATCAGGTAACCCCGAAGTATGGAGGAATAGGAAGGGTTTTTACTCCCAAAATGTGTTAGGGGTATGTTCATTTGACATGAAGTTTACCTACATATTAGCTGGATGGGAGGGATCGGCACATGATGCGCGCGTTCTTTCATCCGTAGTGGGGGTACGAGAAAAAAAGTTCCCAACTCCACCGCCCGGTATGTCAATCCCAATCCTTGCTATATATGTTGATAAACAAGCATCATCGTTGGTTGCTTGACTTCACTAAAGAGTTGGCCGTACTTAATTATTGCTTTGTAATGGCGAATGCAGGTAAATACTACCTTGTAGACTCTGGCTACGCGAACAACGATTGTTTCTTGGCGCCGTACCGGGGGAGCACATATCACCTTCAAGAGTATAGGGCAAGACGTGGGCGTCCTCGAACTCAGCGTGAGTTGTTCAATTACACGCATTCGTCCCTAAGAAATGCTATTGAGCGCACTTTTGGTGTTTGGAAAGCAAGGTTCCGCATACTCAAGTGCATAAATAATTACCCAATAGAGAAACAGATACAAATTCCTATTGCTTGTGCTGTGCTTCACAATTTCATACATATGTACAACAATAACGATGAGCTACTGCACCAGTACACACGAGACGGAGTTCCAGTTTTTGAAATTGATCCAGAAAATGCAGATCAAGATGTTAATCAGAATCACAATCCTGATCGCGGAACGGAACAAAATCAGAACTCCGCACATCGTAGACAAATGAATATTTTGAGGGACGAGATGGCAGCTAGCATGTGGGCGGCATTGGAAGCATATCGCAATCGGTAGTTACATATTTGTTCCGCAATTTCGACTACCGTATTTATTTTACAATACGTTGTAATGAACTTATGGACGTTTCTGTTATTTATGTATATAGGTGTATTAATGTGTAGTCAAAAAATCCATGTCAATACTTGCAAAATTTTAGAGTTATGTTTTTGTCAAAGTGAACATAAAACTCAAGTTCACATCTCACAAATCATCCAAGTGAACACACAATTCAAGTTTCAAACACAATTCCAATTAAACTCACTTTTTTAACTCCAATCTTGAATTTGGAGTTATTGAAAAGAACGCAACCTTAGGCTTTCTATAGACTCCTTGCCACAAAAGTCCTAACTAGAAAAGTACTATAGTGCAAAGCTGAAGACATGCCTGATCCTCCACCACCACATCATGGCCCCCATCCCCACCCGCCGCCACCGGGCCCTGAACACGGCCGCCCCAAACCTCCTCCGCCCGGTCCCCATGTCCTGCCGCCACCAAGTCCCCATGAGCCACCACGGCCAGGCCCTCCTGGACCACATAAGCCACATTCTTCTCATCACCACCACCCGTGACTCTCTGATCACATTACGAAGCCTCAAAAGCATATAGATACTTACGCGTATTGTCGAGCTTTATATGTTTGGCACTGTTATTGTGCTCTATAGTTTGCATTGCTTCTAAGACTATCCACTTTGCACTTTTGTTAGTGCACTACTCCTTTGAAATCACTGTAGTGTCTTATGTAGGATGTAATTATCTAAAGGGACTTGTATGAATAAATAGATGGACATACTTATGGCTTTTTTTTTTTTTTTTTTTTCCTTTTCTTGAAGGGGATGGACATACTTTTATCTATTTCATAAGGCTAATTAGTATCCCCTAGTGTCCCCGTGAATAATAAATGTGTGTTATCTATTGCCTTCTTCTTCTCTTTTTTTCTTTTTTTTTTTCCTTCCTCAATGTGTTATCTATTCTCTTCTTTTCTTTTCTTTTTCTTTTTTCTTTTTTTTTTTTAGGGGATACGGGGTTGAAGGTGAAGACGCCAAGACGAAGAAGAAAAAAGGAGACCAGTGTTTAATTTGTGAGGGGTTTTATTGGATTTGTACAGATTAAACTAAGGTAAGATATTAAGATTAGGAGTTTAAAAAAATTCATCAGATGTGTGTTTGGTATATCATAGGAAAATAATAAGAAAGTGGGGGAGGGATTATTTCAAGAAAAATGATAAAGTGAGTTGCTTAATAAGAAAGAAGAAATGAGATAATGGAAAATAGACCGTAAATAAAGTTATTGTGAGGCTCACTAATTTTTATCTCTTGATAGCTAAAATAACTTTTTTATCCTTATTTTAAAACTAAATTAATATTAAAGCATTGGTAAAATAATCATTTAACCTGTTACATATTTTCTTTTTCTCATCATACTAAACAATAAAAAGAAAAGCC